ACTCTAACTTTCATTAATTTAAATTCAAATTTAATTGATGATCATGGTATTAAAATCATTAGTGATATGTTAATAGTCAATAAAACATTAGAATTATTATGGCTTAGTAAAAATCAAATTACAGATAGAGGAATAGAATCATTATGTGGTGCATTAAAATTAAATAATAAACTAAAAGAACTGAATGTTAGTAATAATCAAGAAATAACAGATCAAAGTGTGGATAGTATTATTGATATGCTCAATATAAATCGTACATTGGTGTCTTTAGATCTTCGATTAAATCAATTATCACAACATAGTAAAGATAAAATACATGAAATAGCAAATAACATATGCAAGACAGTTGAATTATAATCAACAACTGAATAATTACATCTTTTACTTTTTTAGCTTAACATTATATCTGCTTATGAGCTGTTTGTGCGTAACTAATTGACCATTTTTCGATGTCTGTTAAAATTCTGTCGATATGACTATAGATAAAACGTTGATTATTGAGTAATTTTGTGCATTGTGACGAGTAACGCTTTGTGAACAGAAACTCGGCTGGACTTAGATTTTTCATTGATTTTTAACAGCAAAAATCGATGGCGTAATGAATAACTAACAACTTTTTTGATATTCTCGTGTAAGAGTTTATGTGATAGGTAGCATCAAGTAACATGATAGCTAAGATCTGATTTGAAAGGAAAAATATATTATCGAGTATCCTGTATTCGATGCAATCAAATAGTACATCAAAAAAATATTTCAAGGTTTCGTAAAGTCGCTTAGAAAAAGAATCCTTAATAGATTACTGAAAAATCGCCGAAAACTTATTCTCTCTATAGAAAACATTTTTCGACGTTTTATTTCCTAGTGAGAACTAGGCCGTTTTATAGTAAATACGCAAGCATGCGTACTGTTCCCCATCATCAGCACAACATGGCTTTTCCAGTTACATCAATCATCTGTAGTAGAACATCCGCAGCAAAGCTGAATATTGTACTACTCGTACGTTCTTTTTTGTCTAGATTGTTTAACCATTGATCAACCTATTGATCATGTTATAGTACGCATATTTCATATAATCCTTCACAATCACTAGCTTATCTTAAAAGTTTCAATACTTTCATATAAGCTTTATTCTGTCAGAATACATATTCAGTCAAGCTGGTGGTTCAAGGGCCTCGATCTTGTTGAATCCACTGATGATGTTTTCGGCATTCTTAGACCACTATAATATTGAGTGATTCACAAAAATATCATTTATTTTCAAGTTTAAGCCGATTTTTGGACTATTTATAGGATTTTATATGAGTAGAATGTTTCGAACAATGACCACTGAAATTTGGAAAATTACGTGCGCTGTTTTTCTCAGCAGTATCCAGTTCTACAGTTCCATAGAAATTCCTAGAATTGTCAGAATTCGACACATTCAAATATATACTGTTAATAAGATTCTGTTCAGAATCTGATTGAATTCTGGTAGAATTCTAGTTCTAGTTCTACCAGAATCTGTTCATTCGTACAGAGAATTTAAGTGTGAACTAATATACTCTATATAGGTTCTCTTTACGAATTGACAGATTTTGGTCCAATTCTGGTTACCTTCTCGGAGAACTTGAATAGTTACATTAGTTCACGCTTACCCTAGAGATCGATTCTTATATAAGAATCTTACCAGAAACCTATAAGTCTCTGATCAATATCTTATAAAATTCTTATAAGAATCTTATCAGGTTCTTATATAAGATTGTTTAAGATTTCTCATCGACAGTCGTAAGTGTCTTATAAGAATCAGATAAGATTTCCATACGAGGGTCATAAAAAGATAAATCGCACTTAACGAGGATCGAACTCGTAATCTTCCATTCAGCTGCCCGATCTTAACCGTTAGGCTATAAGTGCTTACTCTGTTTATGTTATTATATCAAGTTATTTTAGATAGGAATGTAAGTTACGCGTAAAATATTGCCCGATTAACTAGTTAATACATCCTAGTAAAAGTTTTATATTTTTA